ACATTTTAATCCAGTTTATTGTGCGACAAAGGATGTAGAATGGAATCGAGGGAAGAATGATATTTATTTCCTAAGGTATGAATATAACTGAGGAAAAATAGTTGTTTAGTTACAAAATATAAAGTACTAAGTATTTCAAATTAATTATCATTTATAAACCAAAATAGACATACCCACAATTCCAAGGCAAAGAAAAGCTTGGTTCCCTGGAACTTTCAATGCACTCTCAAGACTGAAAGGAAACTAGAGATCAGATTCCCTGATATCACTTCTTTTCAGATGATAAACTGAGGTCTGGAGAGGAGAGAGATATGACATCATGTCCGTGTTAATGATAATAAACAACAAAAAATCTAGAACTCAGATCTCCTGATTCTCATTTTATTCTTTTCCACACTCCATGGGCTAGTCCCCAGGTCAAATGGTCCAGGCAGCCACAGACTCATATTATTTCTTCAAGCCCTCCTTTCTCTTTATCTTGTTGTTTTTTTTTTTCCCCTCTTCGGGCATTCACCCTCCCCCAACACACACACCACCTTTCTGAGTCACAGTTGGCTGTGACAGCCAAGTCTCCCTAGCCTCAGGGTCATCAAAGCCAAAGCCAGACCTGTATACAGCCCAGTACACCCAAGTGCCCAATGCTCTATATTCCTGCCCTCACAGGAAGTTCTGTCTCTTTTAATCTTTACAAAAATCAGTGAGGTGTTAACTGTTTTATGTTAAAGACTGGTCATCTTAAGCTCAGAGGACTGTGTTATTTGCCCCCAGGTCACTGAGTTAGAAAGCAGTAAGGCCAAGATTTAAACCAGATCAGTCTAGTATCAGAACAGGTAATTGCCTTATTGCCCTTATAGCATAGCCCCAACCTTGGGAAAGGATCCTGGTGGTTTAAATTAATCCCAAGGAGTCATTGACTCCTGGCTCTTCTACTGGGGGAGATGCACAGTGATCCTGAACATTTCTATAACCTTAACCACATTCTATATGGTGAGAACTAAGGCAAGGTCACTACACTCTCCCTCAGATAAGATAAGTGATGAAGCCTCCCTGACAGAGTTGTGAAAATTTAACAGAGTTGTGAAAATTAAGGATTAGTACAGATAAGGTTTGAGCGTAAGCCAGGTTATCCATGAAGGAGTGTATAAAGGATTCAAGAAACAAGTGGTGTTTTCCTTAATCCAAATGTTAATCAACGATAGTTGACATTATTTTGTTGCATGCTGTTTGAAATGCTTTGATTAAATGTGTAGTCTATATATAATAAATGCTGACTAATAAAATTGAATTTTTATACCTGACCTCTTACCAAAAAAAAAAAAAAGTTGATTTCCAGCTTATAATGTCATCACACCATTCCTTTTAACCTAGAAAAAAAAAATCACTGTTGCCATCTTCACAAACATTTATTGAGCACATGAGGGACTGGGATGAGTATTCTATTACCAGGTATCTTATTTGATTTTCTAAGGGATAGGCACTATTGTTATCTCCATTTCATAGAGGCAGAAACTCAAGCCCAAGGTATCTGAGTACCTTCACTAAAGCCATATGACTGTGAAGTTTAAAAATCAGTTTTTAGAAGTATATATGATATATTTGATATTGCCTTATACCATCAATTTTCAAAAGTTCTTGAGGGCCTTGCAATCAAGATATTCAATTGAAGCCAGGCACGGTGGCACGGGCCTGTAAGCCCAGCAGCCCGAGAGGCTGAGACAGAAGAATCACAAGTTCAAATCCAGCCTCAGCAACAGCGAGATGCTAAGCAACTTAGTGACACCCTGACTCTAAATAAAATACAAAACAGGGCTGGGGATGTGGCTCAGTGGTCTAGTGCCCCTGAGTTCAATCCCCAGTACCAAAAAAAGAAAGAAAGAAAAGATACTCAATTGTTTTTATTTAGATATTGTGCTGCTGTTACTAAAGTACATGAGAAGAACAATTAGAGGACAGAAGGTTTGTTTGGGGTTCCAGTCCATAGAAGGCCGACTCCATTGCTTTGGGCCCAAGATGAGAGCATCATAGGGGTAAGAGCCAGCAGAGGAAAGCTGCTCCCCTCCTGTCAGGGTCAAGAAGGGGAGAGGGAGGGGAGAGAAAGGAGTCGCAGGGAAGATGCACCCTACCAGGGCATGTTCCCAGTGACCCCTTTGTCCAGCCATGCCCCACCTTCTACCTTTACCACCCAGTCAGTCCATTCAAACTAGGATGGATTAATGAGGTCATAGCTCTAACAATCCAGTCACTTTACCTCTGAACATTACTACGTTAACACAGGAGTTTGGGGGGACACCTCATATCCAGCATAAAAGAACAGAGGCAAAATGTTAAAAGTTAACTAAGGAGCTTGAACATGTGTGTGTGTGTGTGTGTGTGTGTGTAAGGGGATGGAGAGCAAATAGGAATGTATAAGCAAATCTAAAATAAAGAACACCCCTGGAATGGATGACAAAGGTAGCTCTGTCCTTCATCAAGACACACTTGCATGATTACTAATTGAATTATTTTACGAAAATGACTGATCACTTATTGTGTTCAAGGATATATGTTCCAGATTTGGGCCATACAGAACACATAGTTGCATAGCCTTTCTCTTAGACCTCACAAGCTGGTTAAATTGTTAGATTAAATATACTTAAATTATTCTGTGTAAATAATTTACACTTAAGTAAATTGCCTCTGGGGTGTGCTCAAAAGTTGTTTCTTATCCAAACTACCCTTTTATGTAACTACTTAAGGAAAGGAATAAAGAAGAACATGCAATTGGGGGAAATATGAGAATAGGATTTGGAGCAGAAGATGAATTACTGAAAGTGATCAGAACTTTGGGACACAGGATACTTTTCTCTTCAGTGAAACTTTCAGCTCTTCACAAAAAAAAAAAAATCCAATGTCCTAAAAGCTAAATAAAGCAAACTGGGCCTTGGATTCCCCAAGGTTCAGATTAAGAGCCCAACTCTTCCGTGGAGGACAGGAGGAATGAGAGACTGGATTCCCATTATAAATAACCCCAGAGTTTAGTCAATAACAATTTCTTTTGAAGCCCTTTAAGAAACCTGGGATAAATCCAGAAGAAAGGTACTCAATAGGCCAAGCCAGGAGAGTAAGAAAATATCTACAGCTGATTTCATTTTGCATAGCAATTAACTGCTGCAAAGGTGAGTGACCAGGGGTGACAGAAGCAACCCCAAGCTGGAGGGCCCTTTTATAAAAAGTCTCTGCTCTGGCACTCGGGTTATATGGCTTTAACATCCCTCTTGTAGCATGCTTGCATCCCCTGAACCCCAGAAAACAGAAAGACTCTTAGGATCAGAAACCATGAAAGTCTCATCCCAACCAAGTAATACCAGTGACCACAGATGAGTCATCTAACCTCACCATGTGAATTTAAAATGGATTTTATCTCCAGCAGGTCATCTTCTTACTTAGTCACTCAAGTGATAGGTGTCAATGCATATTGGGGGGTGATCAAGTTTCCAAAGCATGAAAGAATAAGTCACTTAAAAATTTAAAAGTTGAGTGCTCATTCAGATGTCCTCAGACTTCCACAGTTGAAAATAAAAATGAAGCTAGTGAATGAAGCACATAATCTACAGAAGCACCCCTGGTCCACATAGAATGGTACCAAAACTCTCTGCCTAGATTTCAAAGTATTCCCCAAGATATAGTCAACCCCTTTCCCTAGAATTGTCTCAGTCTATCCCTTTATGTATCTTGTTTATCTGTCACATTAATTGTCCAGTGATTCAGGAGTTTAGAATATGGTATTTATATCTGAGCTATTTCCACTTCCTGAAATCCCCCTCCCCTGAGTGGCTGTATGTCCAAACCTGCTCAAGCATAACCTCCTCAGAAAAGGAGGCTTCCCTGATTTCCCCTAGTGCAGGCCAGCTCTATCTTAATTGGAGCCCCCTGGAATTTTTATTTGTATCTCATGTTCTACAGTTTTTTTTTTTTTTTTCTGGTGCTGGGTATCGAACCCAGGGCCTCCCCATGTTAAGCAAATGCTCCCTCACTGAGCTACACCCCTATCTCCTGTACCTCATATTTTAACAATTGATCTTCTCATAAGTTTACTGTTTAAGAGCAAGATGATATCTGATTTCTCTTTGTTTCACTTACCAAGCAATGGATAACACTTAATCAGCTAATGAATAACATTTAATGAGCCCTTTACACGTGCAATCTCCTCTCCTTTAATCCTCACAGCTAACTCAGCATATGGATGCTGGTATTTCTCTCATTTAGCAGATGAGGAAACAGGGGCTCAGAGAAATCAAGAAAGTTGCTGAAGTTCATAGCTATAAAGTGGTGAAGTCAAATTGGGATTTCCAGTCAAAATCCTTGATTCTTAAAATCCTTGCCTCCACTTACTACATGCATTCAGCATAGGTATTGCTCAATAAATATTTATTAATTGAATGAATGAACAAATGGATGAATGAAGAAAGTGTGAGTCTTCAAGTATGAATGTTCATGCTTCATTCATAGAACCTCATGTCCCCTTCCAGTGGATATTTGCTGAGTTAATGACTGAAGGAATTGGTATTAGAGCAGATGTCTGGGAAACTGCTGAGTCCAGACGCCCTCAAAGGCGAGTCATTCACTCACTCTTGCAATTCTTATTAAGAGTTTGCTATGTCCCCGACAGATGACATAGGAATAAAAAACAAATCAGACACGAATCCTGTTCTTTGGGAATCTTACATTTTTGGTAAGCTGAAAATTGACCAGACTTTTTTTTCAAGTCTAGGAAGGAGTAGTTGTTGTTGGCAGAGGAAAGTTTATTCAAACTCAGGGAACGACCAACAGAACAATCAGAGGTGACCAGTAAGGAAGCCAGATTCTGAGCATGAATAAGCTTCCCCTTAGAGAGGAAATGGTGCTGAAGATCACGAAGAATAGCTAGATGATTCACCCATCAAAATAGGAAGCTCTGTCTGGTAAAGAAGATGATGGTAGTGAGGTGGCAGAAACCACAAATATCCTGCTCAAACACTTACCAAGAGTGGACATCACTCTTCCTCTGAGGCTACTGTCTGTGGAGGAGTGATCTATCTGCTGGCCAGGACTGATGAGAGGCAGTGGAACATTGTGTTAGGATTCCCCAGGCCCTGGAGTCTCTGCCTCCCTCCGGAACAAAGGCTTCCTCATGTAGCAGCTGTGCAAACTTAGGCATTCCTCAAAGCAGAGACAATACCAGTTCCTCTTCCACTCAGTTGTGAAAACCGAGGAGTCAATACCTGTAAAGTTCATAGAAGGTGCTTAGCTCATGGTAAACACTCATTAAAATTAACTTTTATTGTGCTTCTATCTGAATCTAATTGTTTCTGTAGCTGAACCAAAGTATCCCAGTGAATTTTAGAAGGAAGCTAAATTCTGAAGAGGATGCTAAAGTGATCATGAAATAAAGGTATAAATCATGTGTCTTATAACAACTTTATTGACAAGATGACAGTTCTCCATCGGTTCAGAGACTGGCTTCTCTGAACTGTCATATGTAATTGTCCTCTGCAGCAGGATGCCAGTGGACCATTATGTTCTATATTTATGAACTTTTACCCCAGACTTAGAGGGTAGCAATAGACTTATTCTGCTACCTCACACAGTCCAATTTTCTTTTACTTACCAGACATCTTTGGAACTATCAGAACCCATGATCTATTTTCAATATATAAAACATTAATCTAACCTCAAAAGCAGATATTTCTTTATCAAGGCAAATACTCATTAATCCATGTTCAAAACAGATTTAAAACATCAATGTGTATATTTAAAGTGTATGCATTAAAAAAACTAATTTGTATGTGAAGATTTCTAGGCAAATGCTAGACCTAGCTCTGTTGCAAAGAAAAAAAAAAAAAGTTCTGATTTTAAATTCTGCAGGTTGTCTTCTAATACAAACATGTTTTAGTACAAACAGTTTTCAAAGTTGTGACTGGTGAATAAATATTTTCATAATATTATTATTTCTATTTATTTATTTATGGTTACATATAATACATTCCATCTCACCACCAGATGCTAGGGTCTTAGTTTCCCTTATTTTCTATGAGATGCATTAAATATGAAAAATACTAATTAAATATAGGAATTACTTGAATATTAAATATAGGAGTTGCTTTCTAAATTGATGAGGTAATCAAATTAATAATCAAGAAATTTTTAAAAAATTTCAAGTCTATTCCATTTCAGCAACAGTCATGTAAAATGTTTGGGGATTGTTGGTGAATAGGGTATAGAGTGGATTGACAGAGTATAGAGAAAGTGAAGTAGCATATTAGTAGAGGGCTTGCCTAGCATGCCCTAGGTTCAATCTCCAGTACCAGGGAGTAGGGTCAGATGGTGGTGAAGTTAAAAAGGTTGTGTGGTAAAAACAGCAACAAGTTTTAGAGCCAGAAAGACTGAACTCCAAATCTTAGCTCTGCCACATTGGCTGTTTGTCTTCTGAGACTGAGCTCATTCACCTGAAAAACAGTCATAACAACACCAACCTTACAGAGTCATTGAAAAGATAAGAGCTAATAAAAAATGGGAATTGTCTAGAACAAAGTAAATGTTCAGTAACTAGCAGTTCTTATAATGGAAATAATTTTGATAATATTTGTATGCAGATAATATTAGACAATGTGTGTGTGTTATTTGTAGTGTATTAATGTTTTAAAAGGCATTTAGCAATCTATACTTCATAAGGGTGTCACCTGGAGAATCAAGAGAGACTGGCTCATTTCTCTAGTCTATAAAATTGCTATAGTTTCTGCTCTAAAGCACATTAGCAAGACCATAACACCCTGCACACAGTCAACATCTTATCCTTGATAATTAAAGATTAGAGCACTGCTGTAGAAGTTGGGAGACAAATTTTAGTTCTGGCTTCATCTCAAAAGGACTCTGTGACCTTGAATCAACTGCCTCCCTTTTCTGAGCCTCAGTTTCCTACTTTTAAGATGAGGAAATCAGATACCACTTCTGAGAAACTCCCCATTCTAAAACTGTGCTAGGAATGTAATTCTATGATTTTCTGACTTAGACTCAGGTTCATGACAACAGAGAAGAAGAAACTCACTACACATGACTGAAGTGCTGGGAGATGTTGGCTGCCCATTTTATGTCCAAAAAGATGTGATATTGGCCTGATTTTCCCATGATCCTTTAAAGATGAAAATTAAAGCAAGTTAGATCTAGCTCCTTTCTCTATGACCAAAGAAGTCTTTTCACACCATCCTTTATCATCAGTACCTACACCTGTCATTTGTAAATATTCCTGGCAGTTTACTGTATGACTAAAGATTTGCATATGGGTTGGGATTATAGTTATGGATCCTATTTGCATCCACTGAAGTCACCAACCCCACAGAGCCCCACTTGTTATTGATAAATACCATCTTGTGATGAATCCTTACCTACAATTGGTCCAGTAAAAAAAAAAAGTCCAAATTTAAACTGTCCAATTTCAAAATATGGCCAAACATGGAATGGCCCACATTGGGAGGTAGAAATTTCTCAGCTTTAGCAATATCTAAAAAAATTGAATGGATACTTCAGTAGGGGTGTTATGTTGGAAATTCAAATATGGAATAAACTACTTCCTTCTGAACCCAACAATTTTATGGTTCTCTGGTTCTACTCTTACCAGGCCAACACTAGGAGTGTTTTATATTTAGATTTTCAATATTTGGGTTTTATATTTCGATTTTTTTTAAAAAGTTGTTCAACTTTTTGAAGAGACAGAAAACAACTCTGAATAAGGTCTGAGTCTTTTAGTTCTAATGACACAAATATTCCAGGATTCTGAGCCATGAGGTTCCAGATAATGCAATTTGATGACATATAGACGGCAACACTGTGGAACAAAAAGTTTAGTAGAGGCAACTGACATGCCCAAACCTGGGCTTGGCACACAGGAGAGGGCACGATCACCTTACAGGTATTTTCTGTGGTACCTGACAATTATCTGCATGCTCCCTTCTCCATGGATCCTCTGAGAATCCCTGCATCCTCCTTGGTTTGTGCCCAGTGCAATGGCTGGGCACAAACAATGCAGCTCACTGGATTGTTCTATAGTGTAATCAAGTCCTCTTGGCATGTTGCTTGGCCCAACTCAGAAGTATAAAGGTTACACTTCCTTAAAATGCAGTATTTCCCATCAGAACCTGCATCAATCCACTGATTAGTATTATTATGCCTGCACTGCTCAAGATTCAACACTGGGTAATGATCTCTGGCTTTGTCTTATACAAGAATGGTCTTTCTTTGGTCCAGCTGGAAATCAATGACTTGAGAGGAGATGCGCAGGTGTGTGTAAGAGGCAACTGGGAGAACATCGTGTCAAATTGCCATAGCCATACAAAAGGCAGTATTTGCAGCATCTTTCTGTATCTGGTAAGGCTGTTGGTTCTTGGTTGGACTATGGGTGTGGAGAATGACTCAGGAATTAAAGAATGGCATGGTAAAGGGGCTACCGAAGAGGTTCCCTTCCCTAACTCTATGTCCCCTTTGTTTTCCTGATTCCTACCACTTAGCCTGGATTTGTGTTGATTTGCTGGTCAGATGAAGGAGTAGCACAGTACAACACTGGTGGGCAGGCAAATGAATCTGTATATATCCAGAAGGGTTCAGAATCTTTACAGTTCTTTCCTGGATTTAGGCTGAACCCAGCATAGGGACAAGAGGCCCATCCCTAGAAGGATTGTACCTGAAAGGCCAGGTCTATGCTTGTTAATGCAGGGCAGGGTGCTCTAGTGTTTTCTCAGGAACCACAAACGGGTGGTAACCTTCATAGTCAGAGAGCCGGGCTCATGTTTCTGCTCCTGCCTGCTCCTGTCTGAGTTTGCCGTGACTTTCTCTGTTTAAAGAAACTATCTGACTGTAAACTAAAGTAAGTCTTATTAGCCATCATCCTTCCAAAGAATACAACTCTCTTTCTACCCTCTTGTATCTTTCTTTTGGTTGCTTAGGCTGTGATATATGATCAAGTAGGGGACTTGAATGATCACCAGAGAAGCCCAAACATAGGGTCTTTAGATCAGTTGATGAAAAAAGAGAAGTGATACTGACCATTGGTGGAGTGGTGACATCAAAGAGGATCCTGCGCTCTGCTCCCTACAGTGTGGCTGGGACTTTCTACTCCAAGAGGAGGATTCAATAACAGAGCTTTCCAGGAAAAATGGCTTTTATTTAGTTAGTTAGTTCCTCACACCTTTATCACCCAGGCCATTCAAACTATAAGCACTGAATACCTGGAGACTAATTTCATTCTGGGAAGAAGCCTAATGTCATTGAGAATTAATATTAGAATTATAATCACTAAAATAATGACATTGAGGTTATATTCACTCTATGGACTGCCAAATAATACAATTGGATTTGAAAACAAGAATGAATATTGCCCCAGTATTTCATGGAGAAAATCAGAGCCAGAAAGCAAAAGGCCTTGCACAGGGTCATATAACTGACAGATGACAGCATCAAAATATAGTCTTCCTTTTTCTGACTTAGCATGTTTTTCTATATTTTGTTGCCTCTTCCAATGCAATAATCTTTTAGAAGTCTTAAAAGATTCTATATTTGGACCACAGAGCGACTAAAAGGCCTAAGAAAAAAATAGGGTGTTTTCAAGGTCACATTTTCATCCTCCTACTGACTGCTTTGAAAATTCACTGGCCCACAATTATTGGAACTAATGCCCATAATAAAATCCTGTATATCAAAACCATACACTTTTTGATATTTCTTGGCTCGTTACTTGTCTTAGCTGAGTGGCCAGCTATGTGTAAGCTTGACTGGTAAGAAGGTTTTCTGGAAGCAATGACCAGTTCTGAGATTTCTGTTGAGATCCAGGGAGCAACTTTAGACAAGCACCTGTCTGTTACCAGTGAGAGTCACAAGAGATAGTACGTTCATCCAACCTGCTCAGTCACCTGACACACTCTACAGTTTGAATGCTAGACTATTAGAAGAGTAGACCTAAATTGCCTCTGGAATCCTGGGAAGAGAAATGATGGTTGGTGATCAGAATGTTGCTGTGGGCACTCCAGGGTCTTGAAGAAAACAAATCAATGTAGAGTGTCTGCCTATGAGAGAAGCTTCCCAGTTCCTGCCAAATAAAACTGAGATAAGTGGCCGCCTCTCCCCTTTCCTCCTCTCTTGATCATTATTTGAATCATTAAAATCAGCCATGAGTGTGAACTTAGAGAGAGAAGGTGTGGTGTGGGTACACTCTGATGGGAGTGCCAAGTCCCAA